TGTATGAAAGAAAAACATTACCACATGTAACTCAGACTCTTACTGCTAGTAATTAATATTTAGATAAAGATACTATCTCAAGGGAATAAACTTTTAAGATTTATTTATTTTCTTAATAGAAATACATGGTTTTAAGAAAGAATAACTTGAGATATTGTCTTAATTCATACAGTAAAATTGAGAGAATCAATTTTCATTCTCTGTTTACAAAGTTAGTAATCCAAAATTTATTTTAACAGTTTATTGGGGAAATTTATTTTTAGAAAGAAACCTCCCACCACCTTCCTGTCATTCATAGGACAAAATAGATGATGAGAGAAAGGAGGGAGGAAGGAGGGTTTGGGGTACAAGCCTCATTTACACATTTGAATGTATAATAGAAACCATTTTATTTTTCATTTCAAATACTTTTCCAAAGCCTCAGTTACTGAATTGCTTATCTTGTCTGGTATTTTTGCTTTTGTTGTATCTTATTATTATTTTGGGGCGATCATCTGAGCATGATAAATGCTGGTTTGTTCAAGGCACTAAAACTGGCTTGCAAAAGACTTTTAATATGGGATTCTGTGTTCAAGGCTTTTCTTCTTTGTTTATCCTGGAACAAAGATGTTTGTTTTAAAGTAGTATGAGTTAATTGTCCAACTTCAAATTTCCCATAAAACGTGTAATATTACCCAGATGGCAAATGATGATATATACATTTTAAATATAAATATTTCAATTGGGCCAGATGGTGATTTAATGTGAATTGTCGAACATTTATGTTTCTTATTAAATTGTCTTTTGTCTAAGCCAAGCTGGCAACATAATTTGAAACATATTCAGGAATTACTAAAGGACAACAACAAAAAAATTCAGGCACTTAAGTGGCCAGCAGCATTTGCTCTATGCGGCATGTGAAGGCTCACAGCCGCCCTGGGCAGCCTTCATGTATTTCCTGTTGGAATACTGTGCAAACCATCCCCTGCTTTCCTCTCCCTCCCTAACCCTTCATCTGCCATTTTGTATGGCGGCTTTGCTCATGGGGGCTTGGATGTGGTAAGGCAGCTTGTATTTCCTCAGTGCCTTGGATTTATGTATAGGAGAGCAGTTTTAGTTCTTCCTTAAGCACTTCCCTTCCCCACTGTCCAGTGTCATGTTGTTTGTTATGGGCTCCACCGGGACTATTTCCTCTGAGGTGGTGCTCGAGCTTTGCAGGGCTGGGTCATTTGTGGAAGAAGTCATGTGCACAGTCACAGGGCTCGTTGCAGGAAATGCTCACTGCCTGTTAGTTTAGCACAGGACGCACACAGTCCTGAGCCTGTGGGGTCCCCGGCACTGAGTCCTGGGCGGACAAACTTCTGTTCTCATTTTCAACATAAAGCTTTGAGTATTTCACACAGTATCAAATCCCTGCAGGTTTTTTTTTCTTCTGAAACTTACATGACAATCTGAGTAAGAGTATTAGATATTGAGGCCACGACAAGAAACCATTTTTGCTGCATCCTAAGTTTGATCAGAACAACTTTCTTAAGGAATTCAAAATAGTTAAAACTCAGTTGTTTTTTTTAAGGCATGTTTTCTTTTAGAGACCTCTCATAGCAAGAATAAACATTACATAAAAATAAATATACAGAGGAAAACATCTGAGAAGACTTTGAAATATGTTTGGGGTCCATTAAGATGTCATTGAAGGCTGCCTAGCCTGCATTAAGAACAATTAGATGTCACTTGAAAGGTCTTTTGGTGGTGTTCTTGGTGGACACAATGAACTAAGGCTGTAGAAGCCCTCTGTACCCCAGAGTTCAGCACTGTTTCAGGTCAGATAATGAGAACAGGTAGGTACTCAAGAGCTGATCCAAATGATATTTCATGTTTTATATTTCCTTTTTGTTGATAAGATTCCATCGAAGTATCCTTTTCTGATCATGTTATGGGAAATTTTTTTAAAAAATTGAATTGGTTTGGAGCTGTGCATTGAAAGGTAGTCGCATCAGGAACTGAGTGGCAATTGAATGGGTGTGTACATAAAAGTAAAGTTATTTTTATTTACAACACATGTTGCACATGCTTCATAGTCAATTTCAGGCCTTGCCTGAGGAGGAACCAAATAGCTTCATTGCTTTATTTCATGCTCCCAATACAGGTAGGTCCACGACTTCATTAAATCCCATGGCCTGGACTTTGGTCTCCATTATAGATAGTTGTAGGGCCCACCACCATCAGCATGTGTAACAACATTTGCATATACTTTACATTTATAGAGAGTTCTTTTACATATCTCATTTGATCCACCAACATCTGTATGGTAGGAATAAGATGGAATAATTATACTAAATTTATAGCTAAACCATCTGAACCTGCTCAACACATCTCATCTGATGGGAAGGAAAGGAAGAAAAAATGTTTTATCAACTCGGTACAACTGATGATTTTGGAGTAAATTACATTTGAAGATTTCCTCGAATTATTCTAGGGATACTTTGGAATAGTCAGATGTGTGTGCAGGTGTTTCCAACACAAATTGCTTCAGTGCCCTTTCAGTTTGTTTGTGAAAAAAAATCAAAACTAGATACTGGTTTTTATTTTGGGATCTCTTAAGAAAGAGAAGCCTCAGGCATAGGTAGTCTGGGGCAAGTGAGGGAAGGATGTGTCAGAGTCGTCTCCAGGTGCAGGGACAAGCATTTGGGTTTCCCTTTTATCGATCCTGTAAATAGCTCAGTGCACGTTCCACATCAGTTTTTGAGATGGGTAGGAACAGGTACTGCCTATTTAGAGACTGGAGTTCTGTTGAGATGCTGAGAGCATGCATTCCTTTTTCAGTCTTAGTAGGTGCGATAGCTCCAGTTCAGAAAAAAAAGCCTAGATAGGATACTCTGCTTTATCTAGATTCCCAAGAAGATACAGCCCAACCTAACTGCAATTTTAAAGTAGGGTTCTCTGTACCCTAGGCCTTTCTCTTTCATATGACCCTTCGGTAAACATGCCCATTAAAATGGAAACAAATCATTTTAAAAATGGGAATTATTCTCATGCTTTATTTCAGTGGGGGATCCCCTTGAGAACATAGCCATGAATGCTTCTATGGTTGCTATTTTGTTGGTTGCTATTTGTTGCTTGTGGTCAAGAAAATGATCCAGGTGACATGTGCTTAATCCGGCCTTCTATAAACTGGTCACTTCTTTATACCATCAAGATCTTAAGACAAAGTATATGAGACAGTGGATTTTACATCCTGCCCAATTTAGGCCAATGATCAGATTATATAGTTTTAGAGTAGGGTAGTGGTTTAGAAAGCAAGAGTCCATGATTGAGGCTGCCGCATATGTATCCCTGTTCAGCCACTTTCTAGTGGTCTCCCTTCTAAACCTTGTAGTTCTTATCTGTAAAATAGTGATATGTATTTATGTGGTTGTTTTGAGGATTAGTTTATATACCTAAGCACTTAGAATAATGCTTGGCATATAAAAGCTCTCAATAGATGTTGGTTTAAACACAGATATACCCTAGCCAGTTTTAGAGCTACAGGTGTTGCTTTAAACTCTACCTACTCTGTGTGCTTTACATACTGTATGTTATACCGCTCAGGCTAGAATGATGATGAATCCCCATGAGCAAGGTTTCATAGCATTTAAGATCCCAACACCAATTTTCAGTCAGGGCTAGAGATGGCCTCTGCTATCCAGCTAGCTGCCAAAAGCTGCCTCTAGGCTGGGTGGCCTACTCCTCCTCTGTTGGGTAAAAATAGCTTGACTGCTCACTGAAGCAAACTGAAGCAACAACCATGTTATTTTTGTCCTTGGGAGGCTGATATTAGGAGAGCTCTAGACATACTGGGCCAGCCTGGTGCTGCCAGCCGTCATCAGAACCAAAATACAAAGTTCGATTCTGTGCACGCTGTCTCCTGGTTGTCAGGCCTCAACTCCTTTTCCCTCTGTGTCTTGCTTTCTCCACTCAATTTGATTTTGTTTTCAATATATCATGATTTATTAAGTGAAAACTGACTTATATTTCCCACTCATTTTATAAGTTTCCAAAAACTAAAGTTATAAATCAGAAAAACTGGTTTTGACACATCTGTGTGTTTATGAAAATCTGGATGGACTTGGTACCTAGGCCTAGCCTTGTTGTATAAATCAAAATAGCCATTTTCTCCTTATAAGATTCTCCCATTATCTTAAAACTTAGCATCTTCTATCCTTTCCTGGAGCCATGTTTTTTTGTTTTTAAGATTTGAGATTTAAAGTATTTATGATTTCTCAGGAGTGAATCTAATGGGCACCACTCCTTTCCCAACTCTTGGTAGACAACAAGCAACCTCTTGCTCCACCCACATGTGACAAGATTACCATGAGCTATGACTTTTCTAACCAGTTTGCCAGTTTGTTCATGCTTCAAGAGACAAAATTTAAGTCATTGTGAAACTGTTTTAGTAAGTGAGCCACAGAGGCAGTAGCATGAAATGATGAAGAAAAGATAAACCAATGTAGGAAAAACCAAAAGAATGGTGCTATTTTACAACTGCTAGACTAACAATTTAACTTGAGGTTTTCCTCCTCTTCTGTAAACTGGACATTTGCTGAGCAAGTTTAGAAAAAATTCTGTGTGTTCGATCATGTTTTCCAAATCCCATTTCTGATAATAAACCAGCGGCTTTAAGTGCTTGCTCTAATTTCTGTTTCCCATTAAACAAGTGTGGAGTCTTTCAATTCAAGAACCATAATGTGAAACATTTGTTAACTTTGCTGTTTAGTGACCTCTGCCCAGACCTGGTCGCTAATAATCTAAGTAATTAGAGATTAGGATGGATGACTGTGTTTGTAGTTTTTTTTTTTTTTTTTAATGAATAGATTGAGTGGAATTAACTGTGCCCTTCCAGAACATTGGATCTCTGTCTCCATTCAGAATCGGGTTGTAATTCCTCGCCCCCATCATCAATGGCATAAAGTAAATTATGCGGAATCTGCCATTTTAAAACCATCTTAACTATGGTCTCTCTCCTCTTTTTGTTTTGCACATAGGACATGGACTTGATTGACATACTTTGGAGGCAAGATATAGATCTTGGGGTGAGTAGAGAAGTATTTGACTTTAGTCAACGACAGAAGGAGCATGAGCTTGAAAAACAGAAAAAACTTGAAAAGGAAAGACAAGAACAACTCCAAAAGGAGCAGGAGAAAGCCTTTTTTGCCCAGTTACAACTAGACGAAGAGACAGGAGAATTCCTCCCCATTCAGCCAGCCCAGCACATCCTGTCAGAAACCAGTGGATCTGACAACTACTCCCAGGTATGGAGTACTTAGTTCTTATGCAGGTGTATGGCAGGGTTTAAGGAAAGAACATTAACCCAGGAGTTAAAACGTCTGGATGAGTTCCAGTTTTGCCTTTTGCTGTCTTCACAAACTGTATCATGTCACTTTCCCAACCTCAGCCTCCTGATGAGTTCAGTACCTGACTGACTTACCTCACAGAGTTTATTAGGATTAGGACATAAATTAGATGAGCTTTGTATGTTATAGAAACATCATAAAAGGATCAAGCAGCAGCTGTGGTGGCAGTAGTGGAACTAGTAGGTACGGATGATGTACGGCACTAACTGGCAGGCATTGTGGACTGTTCTAAAGCACTTGACATATATTGATTGATTTATCAGTATAACAACTATATGAATTAGGTACCATTATCCTCATCTTATCTACAAATGAGCATCTGAAGCTTAAAGATGTTAAATAACTTGCCCAGAGCGCTCAAGAAATTGGGGGAGCCAATTTGAACGCAGATGATCTGGTTCAATTAATTCCGTGCTCTTAACCACAACACTAACCTAATTTCTGAAATACAAGAAATATTTACTTAACCAGATAGTGAACATTTTAAGAACACTGATCATGAACCTTTAGCTGGGAATGGAACATTAAATCATTGTTTTTCCTTTATGTCTTTCTCTTTTATCCAGGTTGCCCACATTCCCAAACCAGATGCTCTGTACTTCGATGACTGCATGCAGCTTTTGGCAGAGACATTCCCATTTGTAGATGATGATGAGGTATAACATTTGATTCATAGCAAAACTCCATAGCTACATCTAATCCATCCTTTATGGGTCCTTTCAATGTCTCCATTTTTAAAAAAAATGAAAAACATGTATCAGGAGGAAATTTTGTCAATGAAGCCTTAACCTGTACATAATTTTACAGACCCCCTCACAATACAAAACCCCAAACATTAACTACTGCATAGCCAGAAGCAGCATGGATCAGCCTAACCATGGAAACGAGTAACTCATTTGTCATAGGCACTAAAAAATAATTTTGATGAGTAAAGAGCAACCTGGGTAATGCACCAGAAACTGGCTTAATTAACAATTTTAATAAACGTACTGTGTTTGAAGCACTATATGAGGTATTATATAAAGAAATACAAGTTAAATCCTAAAGATTGTTCTTACCTATTTTGAAGTTTGCCTTCAAATGCACAGGATCAAACAAACCAGTAGATAAAGAGTAAATTTGGAGTCAGTTGGGTAAGAAGAAAAGATATTTCGTTATACAGAAATAGAGGTATTAAATAGTTTTAAGTAGAGGAATACAGAACTGAAGCCAGTTCCAACTTAAGGTGTTGTGATGGTGCCTTGGAGTGGACTCATCCACTGTTGGTAGCAGACTCATGTAGATAAATGCCTTGTCAATTTTAGGTTTCTTCAGCTACGTTTCAGCCACTTGTTCCTGATATTCCCAGCCACATCGAGAGCCCAGTCTTCACTGCTCCTAATCAGACTCAGTCAAATCAGACTCAGTCAAATCAGACTCAGTCACCTGAACCTGTTGTCCTTCAGCTAACCAGTGCCGATTTAGATAATATGCAGCAGGACATTGAGCAAGTTTGGGAGGAGCTATTATCCATTCCAGAATTACAGGTAACTAAGATCTAATATTATAAATACCAAAGATGCTATTTATATTCAGTACTTTTAGTCATTCCAGTTATTATTTATGTGCCACCTACTTTAGGAAGGATTAGAGGGTGCTGTTAAATTAGTCATGAGAACTGCCCATGCTCACTTAAGTACAGTCTTGTTAGTTACCATGAGCTGGATGTATTGAGGATAGATCAAGTTATAAACCTGAAGTCTGATCTCGGAACTCTGAAAATAATACAGATGCTTTAGGCATAAATATCTGTCGGAAATGGTAATTATCTCTGAATTACAGAAGAGATAAGCTTGGAGATAATGGGGGTGGGGACAGTTTTTACCTTCAGATACAGAGTATCATCAGCTGTTAAAAATATTTAACTTTGATTTACATAGTATAAACGTCTCTTCCATACAGTGTCTTAATATTCAAAATTTCAAGCTGGTTGAGAGCAGCACGGTTCCAAGTCCAGAAACCAAACTGACAGAAATTGGCAACAGTTATCATTTCTACTCCTCAGTACCCCCACTGGAAAAAGAAGTAGGTAACGGCAGTCCACATTTTCTCAGTACTTTTGAGGATTCCTTCAGCAGCATCCTCTCCACAGAAGACCCCAACCAGCTGACAGTGAACTCACCAAATTCAAATGCCACAATAAACATAGATTTTGGTGACGAATTTTATTCTGCTTTCATAGCAGAGCCCAGTGTCATCAACAGCATGTCCTCTTCTACTTTCAGCCAGTCACTCTCTGAACTTCTAAATGGGCCCATTGATGTTTCTGATCTATCACTTTGTAAAGCCTTCAACCAAAACCACCCTGAAAGCACAACAGAATTCAATGATTCTGACTCTGGCATTTCACTGAACAGAAGTCCCAGCATGGCATCCCCAGAACACTCAGTGGAATCTTCTGTCTATGGAGACACACCACTTGGCTTCAGTGATTCCGAAATGGAAGAGATAGATAGTGCCCCTGGAAGTGTCAAACAGAATGGTCCTAAAACACAGCCAGTACAGTCTTCTGAGGATGCAGCCCGACCCCTGTCACCGTCTCGGGGGCACAGTGCTCCAGCACATGATGCCCAGTGCGAAAGTACACCCAAGAAAGAACTGCCTCTAAGTCCTGGTCATCGCAAAACCCCATTCACAAAAGACAAACATTCAAGCCGCTTGGAGGCTCATCTAACAAGAGATGAGCTAAGGGCAAAAGCTCTCCATATCCCATTCCCTGTAGAAAAAATCATTAACCTCCCTGTTGATGACTTCAATGAAATGATGTCCAAGGAACAATTCAATGAGGCTCAACTTGCATTAATTCGAGATATACGTAGGAGGGGTAAGAATAAAGTGGCTGCTCAGAATTGCAGAAAAAGAAAACTGGAAAACATAGTGGAACTGGAGCAAGATTTGGATCATTTAAAAGATGAAAAAGAAAAATTGCTCAAAGAAAAAGGAGAAAATGACAGAACTCTCCATCTACTGAAAAAACAACTCAGCACCTTGTATCTCGAAGTCTTCAGCATGCTACGGGATGAAGATGGAAAACCTTACTCTCCTAGTGAATACTCCCTGCAGCAAACAAGAGATGGCAATGTATTCCTTGTTCCTAAGAGTAAGAAGCCAGATGTTAAGAAAAACTAGATTTGGGAGGCCTTGACATTTTCTGAGATAGTGGGTTTTTTCTTTTTTGTACTGTTATACTAAGTTCCTACTGTGATGTGAAATGCAGAAATATACTTTATAAGTAATTCTATGCAAAATTATAGTCAAACTAGTATAGAAAGTAATATAAAACTTTAAGAAGCATTAAAATAAGTTGTCAGTATGCTGAAATCAGTTTCACTTTAACTGCAAACTTAATTTCTTAGTACACCATACATTCTATATACATGTAAATACTACAAAAACTTCTTATATTCTTATCTCATTTGTTACATCCATAGATCTATATGTTTTGACATCTGGCTAAAAGCAAATTATTGCAAAACTAACCACTATGTACTTTTTTATAAATACTGTATGGAAAAAAAATGGCATTTTTTTTATATGAAATTGTTTAGCTCTGGTTAAAAAATTAGTTGGAAAGCTGGTACTAATAAAGGAATATTGTGATTGTTAAATCTTTTCTTTGCAATTCATGAGTTTATTCACAGTATTTTCCAGGACATTAATATTACATACAACATATTTAGGTGATATGCATTTTCAGAATGTTTTGATATGTTTTTTATATTAAAATTCTGGTGCTAGAGACACAGAAAAATTAAATATATCAAGAAGATATTTTATCACTTCAACAGGTGGTACATCTCAACCAAAGATGTTCTATACTACACTGCCAGAAAGAGGATTAGGAAGACCAGTAAAAAGGAAGCATTGTAATTTAACATAGGTTGTAAACAGGAAAAGCCTTATTGAGGTGGCAACATTTGAAGGTGTGGGAAACCCATGGTGTTAGTATTTCAGACTGAACTCAAGTTCAAAGACTCAGGCCTGTTTCAGAAGAAAGGACTATATGGTTGAAAATGGAGAGGGAGGAAAAGGGTGGGTGGGTCGAGGAGTGGAACATGTAACTGCTTTGTTAAGCCTTAAGGACTTTGGCTTTCACACAGCAAAGTTGGGGAGTTATTGAAGGTGTTAAGGGTAACATCTGATAAAGTCTCCTCTGCCTCGTGTTGAGAATAGTCTAGAAGATAAAGGTGGGAGCACGGAGACCCATGCGGAGGCTCTGCAATATTCACATGGGACACGGTGTCTTTGTCTAGGGTGAAAGCAGTAGTAGTGAGAAGGAACTGGATTCTGCATGTTTCAAAGGTAGAACTAAAAGGATTTTAACAATGGATGTGGGGTGAAGGTGGAGTCAGGGCTTGAACATCTTTAAGAACTGAGGTGCCCACAGATGGAGACTGGTTAGAGGGAGATCTAGGTGGGAAAATCGGTTCACTTTGGAACATGTTAAACATGTAAATAGTAAGTACAAAGTCAAGGCCCCACAAAACTGAAAATCTGCATGCTGCCCAACAAACCATTTACAGCATTGAGTCACTACTACTCTACCTAATCCAATGTTTGTCTTCAAGTTTTAAGTGGAGAAAGGGAGATTCCTCTGAAAGTTAAACATGTTTAGAATAACCACTGTGTGCAAATGATTCACTGAGCATCCTATTACTCTGTTAGCAATACAGTAGAGGTCCACTGGGCCTAGAGCCAGTTCACCTGGGCTTGCTGCTGCCACTTTCCTAGAATGACCTCCAAACTCAATCAGGCTTGTTTCATCTGTAAAGCAAGAATTTTGTTACTCCACAAAAAATACTAGCACAATGGGCATTTCCTCATTTTCTTGAGCTTTAGGATGCCTTTTGGTTGCACACAAAACTAAAGCCAAATTAGCTTAGTGAGAATTTGACTCATGACTGGAAAGCTCCATGTTGAAAATGAGTTAAAGAAGAGGTCCCCAACCCCCAAGCCATGGACAGGTACTGGTTTGTGGCCTGAAGAAGGTGGGCCACACAGGTGAGCAGCGAGTGAGTGAAGCAGCTGCTCTCCAGCACTAGCATCACCACCTCAGATTATCACGCATTAGATTCTTACAGGAGTACCAGTGCCTGGTACCAAAAAGGTTGCAGACCACTAGCATTCAAATGTGGTGATTCCACTGCTGGCCTTCCTAATGTGGTCAGGCATTTCCTCCTGTAGTGGTGGTTAGAGCAAGCCCTGCAGGAGATAGGACTTTTCTGACCAACCTCAGGACAAAAAGTTTGAAGAGTGCCCCACCCTAAAATTATGGGTGGGGTTTGGGGTGGTGTCTACTACCAGCAGCCCCATCAGGAGCACCTGGAATTGGCCTGCAACTACAACGGAAAGCACTGCTAGGCTGACCAGACTTCCACTAGCTTGACAGCAGATGCCTTTGTTCACACGCATTTTTTGAAGTAGTCAAATTTTTCAAAATACTTTGCCAAGTTCATTCAAGATGACTATCATAGAAATCTTACAGAAACCTAAAAATTATTTTGAACTACTAGACATATTGTACACATATTAGAAACAAAAACAATTTACATACAAGCATTTCTCATTTTGTTCTTCACAGATGTTTTATAAACTGAATTCCCTTTACCAAAGATTATGACTTGCTTTATTGCGGTGCTGTGGAACCGAGCCAGGGTCTTGGAGGTCTGCCTGTATAACAAAACCAACTTAACCTATGACTTAAAAGTTTTCATCTCTTGTTCTGGATTTGAAATATAAGATCCGTGTCCCTCACACTAAATTTGGTTATCCAATTGTTAAACCTCACCTGAACTGTGATTTTAAAATATATCTATGGTTTACACTGACTTATAAAGCATCTTATTAAACTTTAATCACATGATACATGTTATATAAAACATTTTCTTGCTGAGATTTCTCAAGCCCATTCTTGAGGCAGCCCATACCCACACTTCTGCTTTTAAGCCTCAGAACATATACAATTCTCATTCCTATTTTAATTATCAGGGCAGTTTCAGTTTTCAGTTGATGCTGTGTAATACTTTTTGACAAATGGAAAAATGTAGAGACCATAAAAACTTTTAGTCAGTGTTTGTGTAGGAAAAAACTGAGACACTGGCATAATTAACTTTATTATCACCCATTAAAACTTTAGATATGCTTCAGAACATTAAGAATTCAGTACTCATGATTACCAAAAATACTATTTTTAGGGCTAAAGATCCAGACACTAAGTTAAGCTCTTTAATTCCATTATATTTAATCTTCAGACTCAATGAGGGTATTATCTCCATTGTACAAAAGGAGTTAGGTAAAAAGTTTTTAATCAGGATAGAATTTAGGTCAGGATTTTGACTGGGAGAATGTTAATTTTCACTAACATTTAGTGAAATCAAAACTCGTTCAATATCACAGCAAACTATGGTATTCAAAATTCGTGACTGTCATTAAAATCACATCAGATTACTGTTGCCACCAAGTATCTCAAAATACATCTCTTCAAAGTTAGAAGTTAGACCCACCACTAACCTCATTTAATGTTTAAAGCACACGCTAAACCAAATTTAATATTTTGTAACTTTTCAATGTTTAATTCTACGTATTTAATGCATATGAATTCATTCTAAGGGGTCAGTTGGCATCACTAAACCGCCGAAGGGGAACATGATATAAAAAGCAAGCTCCAAGCAACCTGCTCAAGTTCATGATACTTAAGTTCTGTACTCAAATTTTTTACTGATAGGCATTTTTTTCTAGTACCTATTAAATAAGGATGGAAAAAACTGATATTAAATACAAATAGAAAATTCACTTTTGATGTAAACATATTTTAAAGGATGTAAGTTTTCCCAACATGAGAATGCACGTACTGATTTTTAATAATGAATTACCTTTAACTTTCAGATATAGCTAGTTAACACTTGTAGAATTTTCATCTGACTACAAGCCCGTTAATTATTAATTTTAATGGCTATATAAATGTAACTTAGCCACTTCCTTTTAAAAAATTTTAATGCTGTCAACACCCGTGTACTTAACTTCCCATTACTATTAAATTTTAATAGTTCAGTAAGGGTAAATTCCTATTTCCTAGCTTTCAGGACTCTGCCCACTTAACTCTCCCACATGAATAGTAAACACACATTTGCCATTACCTGTCTTTGAAAACGTGATAGGTAGAAATGGTGTATTTTACTATTACCTTACTCTCTCCTAACCTTTGGTACTTTCTATTTAATTCTAAGTTATGTTGACCTAATATACTGACAGGATCCTACTTTTGCAAAAAACACTGATCTTCAAAAAACTGGTCTATGATGAGTACAAGAAAGAGTCCAATTTATCTTGTTGCCTAAATATTTTGCAGTTTAACAATGTATTTTTGTTCTAAGTAAATATATTTATTTTGGTGGAAATGAAATCTACTCTTGCCATGAGTTATTCTGATTCAATAAACTGGAATTACAAGCTGCAGAATATGAAACCACTGCACACACACATTCTGAAACCAGTGTTGAATACAAGCATATTATAATCCTGTTAACAGCTAAAAATACCCAAGGCTTCAACTCACAATTTACCTTAACGTTTTTAACTATTAATGCTAAAAATCCTAATACTTGTTACAAAAAATTTCAAAATCACAATTATCAAAAACCCTGCCTCATAAACCTATTGAGCTTTAAGATTACTCTTCCCTTGATTCAAATTGCAGCACTGTAGTTTTGACTACTTGATTTCATGAAAGCTTTTTCCAACCCATCCTCACAGTACCAAAATATTCAACCAATGCCTTTAACATCTAGAAAGCTTTCATACTTCTCCCCAATTTTCACTTATCCTTACCTACACCACAAATAAGATTCCTCACTTATCACCCAAGATCTCATATATTGGTCCTTCAGGACTGAAACCTTTTAGTTGCGTTTTCTAAGATTTTCTTCCCACGCCTATTTCCCATTGAATAGAATCCATTCTTTAAATCAACTGACATGTAAGAGCTCATTCCAAGTTTCCTGTTATTTTATTACTAGTAAAGTATGTAATAGTCACCTATATATAGCATTTAAGTTACATGAACATTGTGAAGTGACAAAACAACACACACATTTCTAAAAATATTTTAATGAAAAAGTTATCTTTCTGTAAACATTTCATTATACCACAAATGAAACATTTTAATCCATTACAGGCCACCTCAAGTCAGAAAACATTTGAAACTTAAAATTTTGAATACTTATATATAGGCTAACAATCCTTACATTACCCCTGCACATTAGCATGCTTATCCCCTTTGTGACATCAATTACTGGAACCCCAAGAGATACTGTCATTAACTAGCAATGTTTCAAATTGTTTGACTTCCATACTGAAACTCAGAAAACCAAACTTATTTCAATTGGTTGCTGAACTAATGGGTCTTTATTACCAAATTTTCTTCTTTAGAACATGAATGTAAAAAAAAAAATTTTTTTTGAAGAAACATAGTGTATAGCAAGCAATAACCTCTTGAGTTGCTTTGACAAAATCAGTTGTTTGCCTTGGCTACTTCCCTATGAATGTCCTTTTATTTACTGGTACCATGACTTTAAGAGAATATTCTTCAGAAATGACAGTGGGACTACAT